GAGATAATTTCAACAAATAGAATAACTTTTTTTCTATTTATCTACAAACAAAAAAGTCAGATACTACTGTTCCATCTTGGCGTGCCTTCAACCACCTTATGTCAAAATCAGATCACCCAAAAACAGTAGCTTGAATGATGCCCATCATAAATTCTCCAGCACATGATTATGACACACTTTGAACAGTTTTACAGAATTGTCACAAAATGATTACAAAACTAGGCCAAATCAATATAGTTATAACTTTTGATGAGCAGCTCTATTGTAAAGCAAAGATGATTCTGTGGCACCACCAAATAGAGTGTGAGAATTTGTTATTCTCCTGGGTGTATTTCATGTGCAGATGAACTTTTTAAAGATTTTTGGCCAGCACCTTGATGATTCAGGACTGAGGGACATTTTTGAGGAAAGTAATGTTTTTGGAAAGAACACAGCTGAAAACATCATGAAAGGAAATGGATAGAACCATGTAGCTTGTGCACACACACTTGCCTCTGAAGCACTTTGGAGAATATTGTGGCCAACTTTTCTGTTGTGGATAGATGACAATATCACAATAGACAACAGTTTTTTTGAGTTGGCAGATGCAATTTCAGAACACTTACGATGTGGAGAAACTAAAGCAGCTGCAGTACGCTATGAAAAAAGTTGGAGAGCTTGAAGATCTACTTGCTGAATTTGACAAGGCTAACAAAGACAAACCAACTTTTACCTTCTGGAGGCAATACATGGAGCTTGTGTCTATTCTCTTGGCATTCACACGGGGTCCGAGATGTGGCGACTGTAAATTGTACACGTCAGCCTTTAAGAGCATGATGCCTTGGTTTGCTGCAAATGACCACACTCAATACAAAAGATGGGGTGCTGTATTCACAGCAGACATGGAACATCTGGCACAGACAGCACCTGAGGTCTACAAAGGCTTCCTAGATGGAAATTTTGTAGCCAAAGAGACCAATTACAGCTTCAATGGCTTATGACTTGTGTCTTGAGCACACTAACAAAACTAGAAAGGCTGCTGGAAGGTTGGTAGCCATCACTCGAAATGAGCTAGAAACCCTTAGTCAATCACCTACAACGAACGAGCATCCTTACCACAGGATACAAGATCTTTGTATGAACTGACACATGATGGAGAAGATGATGAAGACACCCACAAAGACTGCCTTCCATCAAGTCAAAGAAGGGATAACGATGATGCTGTTAAACTTGTAGACCAGTTCCGAAGATACCATGTCATTCAAATGGAGAATATGCATGAGTTGTTTTCTTTGACAACCGGTGATGTGGCTTCAGAATATATTCTGAAAGACCCTATAAATGCTGCAGATTCTGGGAAAAAAATTGTCAATGAGTTTGTAAAAAAAAAACATTGAGCACAAGACTTCCACAGCACCCTTTTTACCCCCAGAAACACCAAAACATTCTCAAATCTGTACATCACAGATAAACCTGTAAAGCTCAAATCCAAGTGTGTGAAGCCTGACAGGGATATTTTACATGAGATCATTCTATCCATGGACAGTGGTAGAGAGGTTAACAGATGAGCTTCTCTAACAAGAACTGTGCGCAGTCCCCCAGTCACTTGCCACGTCAGATTCAACACTCAGACTAACAAAGCTGACTTAGCTACCATCCTACAAGCTGGTGTAAAGGAGACAAAGCTAAGTCCATCTGTTGTGAGCATAGGCACCATCATTGATGGGATGGCCTTAGTAAGAGCAATCGTAAAACCTGTAAATGCATAATCTTTTGGAGATTATTCTGATATTTAAATGCAGATAGCGACTGGTTATCTACATAGGAGCATTACTAGAGTTGATCTAGTGTTTGATCAGTACCAACAGAACTCCATAAATGGTGGAACAAGAGTAAAACGTAGCACTACCACCAACTATTTGTGGTTGGCACATGAAAGATGGTGTGCTGGTCCCCAAGCTTTTGACGAAAGAACCTTTACAGGCCAGATGTTTGAAGCTCATGATCTTTGGGTGCAAGGAAGGTGCAACTCACTGCAGTGTCGAAAAAGTGGAATGTATTGTTGCCGAGCATGTGGATGTGTGTGTGCAGCTTGGTGCAAGAATACTCGGGTACCCACATAATCATATTCGAATAGGTTTAGGTTTTGCCCCATAGTGTGATCCAGGCGCTCTATTGTTAAAGTAAAACCTTCCTCTTCTGTTATGTCCCTGTCAAGGACTCTGACTGAGTATTTGATCCCTGGATGCCTTCTAAAAGCTGGTCACCTTCCCATCTCTCTGTTGAGTATGACAGATTAGATAAGGGAAAAAGGTCTACCAGCAGGGTTTAATGGACCATTGCTTCCAAGGAAAAATTAATCAAGATTCTGTAATTTTGTGATTGTTATAATTAAACAAGAATCTTTTCTTAAATAAGTTGCCTGAAATATTTTATGTCATTGCCAAACAATTACATAGTTACAGTATTACATCAAAAATATTAGCAGGTACTCCAAATCCTAGTACACAGTAAATTTTGCTGTGTTGAATAAACTCTTAAAGAGTTAAATTTAACACTGCACGTGAGTGTATTTGGTCCCACTCAGAATTGGTGTTAAATTAACACTTTTCATTGTGTTATATTTTCAGAGTAAAATTAACTAAATTTTGAGTTAAAATTTAACACTGGTCAACACTGAAAATTGTTAAGCTGTTTAACTCTGAACAGAAATTAACTCTGTCTGGTGTTCCTTAATTTAATACCAAACAGAAATCAACTCCGGTTAAATGTTAATACATCACTAATAAAGAGTTGATTTACAACCCATATGGTGTTGCTTTAACTGTCATTATTTCACTCTGGTGCAATTTTTTAATGCTACTGAACATACTAAAAAAACATTAAACAACAAATAAAACAGAAAACGAAACTCAATATCAGTTAAAACTTTTATTAAAACATTCAGGCTTACAAAAATACAGTGCAAAAATTTCAAGTCTGCATAAAATGGCAATATGGTACAATATGAAGTACAGAATCAGTTGTACCATATTTTCTTTGAAGATCAAATGGTTTGAAATAACACAGCTCATTAACATTGACAACTGTTAAAACTTTTTCTGGATGCAGTCTGACTGTAAAAGCATAGTAATGCTCATCAAAACATACAGTTTCCATTAGTGTGCCACATAACAGTACATTTTCATTTTTGACAGCTAGAGTCATGATCTTACAAAACACTGGCATCTCATTTGCTACTTCTGTGCAGATAATAAAGTCAGGACGATACTCTGTGCCATGATGTTTGATCCACTTTACAGCATAGACTATTTCAGATATTACCACACCTAATTTTGAAGCAATCTCTGGGCCACCTCTAATTTCCCTGAGTTCCACCATCTTTCCTGGGCCAAGAGTCAGTCTGTACTGGCTAAAAGACTCCCAATACATTGCCATACAACTCTGGTGCTTTTTGGCTAGTGTTTTGGTGATGTTTTTGAAACTTTTTAATTGTGTTTTAAAGAATTTGTGCTTAGCTTCATAACGCATACACCATGTGTGCAAAATTGGACCAATTTTCCTTATACATTGTGGGTAATGTATCATGATGTGATGTTTTGGCAGAAGATTTTTTTGGGGGAATAACATTTTAAATAGCCGATGATGTTCAATTATCAAATGTTTAAGATAAGTGGTCATGCCATCTGTTAAGACAGGTGAAAAGACAATGTTAACAATCTGCAGAAGTAAAAGCAAAAGATGCCAGTGTTTATCATCTTTATGTATTAAATCTCCAAATATTAAAGGCAAATTGCGCAATAAGCACCAAGATTGAATAGCATTTAAACCTAAATCATTGCTTCCATCAAGCAATTTGACTTTTGGAGGACGGTTTCTCTGCTGATTGTAACCATAGTCAAAAGCATGTACTCTACCATCAAGATCATTGGCACTCAGAAAATTATGCTGAATGTACTGCAGAACAAGTTTTACCTCTAGCTGGGCAACTCCTTCTAGAATGTCGTGCATTATATCAACAGCAAAATTGGTGGCTGTGTTGAAATATTTGAGGGAATTTAATAAGCATGCCCTTTTGACACCATACACGTGAGGTAGTGTAGAATCAGACTGTAAAGTTTCACAATGCAGAGCATGCATCTCAGCAGTTCTTAGTTCAACCTCAGGACTATCTTCAGAGAACACTGACTGAAACTGATGCTTCTCAAGCAGACAAAAACGACAACAATATCGAGCCCCAAATGATTCCAGAAAGCCAAACAAGCTGTGCAGACCTAGGTTATCCCCTGTGACTTGAACGATAGTACCCTTGATGCATCTTCCAGACACTGGATTCTTAACTCCCTCAATTTCAAGCACTTTCAGATCATTGACCAGGGGCTCAATTATGGAGTTAAAACTATAGCGCTTAACATCCTGTGCATGAAAGAGGGCACATAAATGAATATTAACCAGTGAGGAGTTAAAAACTGGTGGGAAATTTCTTAATGAAAAATAGATTGCACCCAATTTATGTATACCTTTCTTTGAGCCCAGTGGATTAGCTGTCTCAAAATCATCATAAAATAACTGAATTTGTAAGGCATCTTTTTCTGTAGAAAATAAAGGACTGCTTTTAAAATGTGCTGCATCACTTAAGTCCACATAAATTCCTTCCTTTGAAATGTGTCTGGGTTTAAACAAATGGGTAAGTTGTGGATTTTTTAAAATTGTCTTTAGTGTTTCTAAAATGGGAATATAAGAAAATTTATCAGTCACAACAACTTGATCAAATGTTCCTGTAGTTTTATTTCTTCTGCTGTCAAATCTTGTGCCGAGTACTATTTCACTAGGTTCAACAATTCCCCATTTCGCTGTAAACAGTCGCTGTTGCTTGACTTCCGAATTTAACAAAGTAAATGGATTTTCTTAATTTGTAAAAGATTCCTCTATTTTCCTTTTACTAACAGTGTCCTCAGAAGATAGACAGAGCAAAGCTGCATCCTGGGCTTGACTATGAATCTCAAAAACCACTTCTTCCATAGATGAAACAAAACCATTTATTGCAGACTGACTTAAACCAGCAACTTTCAGTTGTGCAACAGCAGACGCACACATATCTAAAGTGTTCTTATTAGACTTTAGCATTACAGATGTTGTGGCCACATCTTCAGCACTGTCACTCTGGTGAAACATTGCAGCACTATTTTCTTCCTCTGTCTCACAGATGCCACTAGGGTCACAACTCTGTTCACATTGTTCAGGATGTTTTATATTCAAATGTTTTCTAAAACCTGAGAAGGTACAAAACTCAGAACCGCATCCTGCCTCTACACATTTAAGTCGAAGGCTCTTTCCAGGAACCAAACCATGAACAAATCTGAAGTGCCTAACAAGCATTTTTGAACCATTTAATTCAGTCTCACAAACAAACACTTCATGAGTGCACTGGAACTTTAGGCACCTAGTTAAGCAGCCTTGCCCTAACCTCAGCAACACGAGGACTTTCTTTAACTTTCCCAACATCTATGTTGTACACAGTGGTTTGAATGAAAGTGTACATGTTGTGCAGCATGGTGTTGTAAGAGGTGCCAAAAACATAATGTGCCTTAAACAGTTCATCAAAGGCACCAAGAGAAGAGGTGGACTTGCATGGAATGGCATGCTGATCAAGGATGATGAAGAACTGGTGAATTGAATCCTTCTGAGGACCTACAGCCAGGAGATAGGGCTGAGCGCTCGCAGAGATGTCTTGCAGCTGCTCCTCAATGTTTGTTCCACTCTAAAAAAAAGCAAGCAAGTAAAAAAGAAACATCACTAACAAGTTAAATAATAAAAAACTATGACAGAACAATCATTAAATAAAACCAGCAAACAAACCTTCTTGAAGACAACAAGATGATTTTCTGCTTGAGAAGCAGAAACTTTCCCTGGTCTCTTCCGGCCTTGAGCAGATGGTGGAATCAGATGCAACAGTAGTAGTACTGAAGCAAGGTCGCTGTCCCAAACTGTTTAAACAGGTAACAAACAATTGGTTAATATCATAAATGTTAACTCGCAGCAAAACAATGTTGAAAACTAGAATTTAACTACATAAAAAAGCCAAAAATATATACAAAGTGACTAAAGCTACATTAACAATCTTAGTTTGAATCCAATTATTTGTAAATCTGATAAAACTTTGATCCAAACTACCAACATATAAAAAAATTTATGAATATGATTTGCAATAATACACACACATATATATGAATGAATTCCAATTGAATATGAACAATTAAAAATTAAACTGACAGTGTGTAACTATGGCTAACTTCATTCATGCTTGGGTTCCTTTAAATATTATAATAACCATGGTATGAAACATTACCTAAACAATCAAAATTCTTACCAATATGAACATCATTTTCAGTGTCATCACGAAGAGATTCTGCTGCTAGCAAAAGTTCCTGTAAATCGCTGGTTGCAGGAAGTCTTTTGCACTGCTGAATGACTTTTTTCTTGAACGCTGTTGTCCACTTCTCTAGCAGCTTGCCTGACACTCCTTCTCCAAACATCAGAACAAAGTCTTGCTCAATCTAATAAGCATAACATTTTAATTATTGTAATGCTTAGGGCAAATCTTTAAACTCATGTCACCACTGACTATTTGTTTTTTATACAACAAACCATTTATCAAATATGATTATAAACACTTACCAAGCCTTTAATGTCCTTGAAACGAGGAAAAATTGTCAATAGATCACTGGACTGCATGGGATCAAGAACCATCTTACGACGATAGTCAAATGTCAGTTTCATTTTCTTCTTGATGGCATCCTCATCAGCAGAATGGTTCATGAATGCAATTGCTTCCTTGCATTCATCCTCACTCAGGACAATCTCTGAAGTAAACTTTGAATGCCTTGCTACAGTTGGTCCACCGGATCCCCGCTCAGCATACGACACTTGACCTAACAAACAACAAAACTATTTTAACTGTTTGTTTATACAAAATAAAAAAAATAATCATCCAAGCACAAAGAAAATTAGATTGCTACATTTCTGAAGTTCATTTTGTACCTTCAAATGATCCTCGTCGTTCTTTAGCCAGGTTTCTCTGAATAGTTTTGATTCTCCATGCCAAATATCCGGTGCCACTCTCACCATCATAGTAATGCTCCTAAAGAGATAAAAATGGGTAAAAAGGGGGACACAGGAGCAAAATATACCATCTGTAGTATAGGTGTGTAAAAAAAAAAAAAAAAACGTGACAACAAAAATGTAAAATTTTAAAAAGGTGCAAGACTTACAAAGCCATTTTTGGAATAGGGGTCACTGAGGTAAGGAAACAAAGCCACGATTCCTCTGGCATATTTTTCTTTGACCAGCCTTGGTGGGGACCCTCTGCAAAATAATGATTAATTATAAAAAAATAATAAAATAAATCCACAACTATATCAAGTAGCTATGTGTACACACAAATCAGTACTGTGCAGATTACCCATTTTTTTCGGTCATATCAGCTGCCAGGATATTAACCATTTTTCTCCTCGTTTCATCCTTTAAAGCCTTTGTTCTGTTATACTCATTTATTACACTCTCACCTCCAGGTTTCTTGACAAGAACAGATTGCACCAGCTTTAAAATAAGAGGGGAAAAGGCAGGTTATAAACATATTAAACAAACACACCTAACAAAAAGCAAAACATGAATTTTTAAATAAAATGTAAATTATATATTTTTTCACTTTAAATCATTTTTATGTAGAAAAAAAAAGTCCACCTTTTTTGCTTCATCATCCAGCTTCATTCGCTTACTGTCAGGGCCTTCTTCAATAATGACTGTATCCTGAGAGTCAAGGGAGTCAAAGGATGAAGACAGAGACTGATCTAAATGCATAGAAGATGATTGTGGAGAGGCCGGTTCCAAATCTGTTTGCATAAACAATATAAGGAGGGGGGGGTCAGGAAGTCTCTATGACAAAAACTGTGAAACATTACAGTCAAATAATGTGATAAAATACAAACCTGCACCATGTTTTATGGTGAGAACGCCAACGGAGGGATCTTTGATTAACTCTTCAAAAACATCACCATCCACCTCAGTCCCAGATTCATCCACAACCTTCACGTTCTCAGGTACATTTGGAACCCCAAACTTCAAAAAGGCTAAACAATACATAAATAATATATTGCATAATAATAACAAAATGTGAAAGCTGATCAGTTATATACTGGTAACTCTGAATATCATCTGGAAACATAACACAGCAGCATATACATCAGTATTTAAATTGACCACATACCAAATAAGAAATCTGAATAACAAAAGTGTAATTGTTTCTTACCTGCAGACAAAAAGTCCTCCAGGTTCAGATTGGCTATTTTAACAAACTTTTGTGCATCCCCAAATTTCACCTTTACCAGCATGCTCTGTAGGAAAAGAGAATGTTTCATACAGGTGCCAATGGGGGGGATTTATAAATGACACAAAAATGGCACATAGGTTTATAAATTGTTGCAAGATTTTATAACCATTAACATATATTTATTATTTAAGAATTGGTCATCCCAGTTAGTAAAGTAATTACACAAGTACTTAAAGGTTTTACTCACGATGTGATCTGTAGAGCCTTATATGCACAGAAACTTGGGGGAAAAGAAAACACCAATATGTCAACAATCATTTTTCTGTTATGTCAAAGTATAACACACATTCACCATAGAAAAAAAAAGATTCTAATCCACTTAATTTTGAAATAATGTCTGTGCTGAAGGGTTGTCATGATACTGAATATTGGTACCAATTGGTACTGGAATTAAAAGCATCCATTTCCGCTAATATTTAAGTGTTTTTGAGTAGCCAAAATATTATTAAAATGTAATAAGTTGCTTCCAAACTCATCTACAACTAGCACAGACGTTGCCACATTACACAAAATAGTCATAACTTGGAATGCTATAAGAGTAAATCATCATTTATTGTTTACCTGGTCTTTTGTCTATGATTATCAGCTTCAGCTCTTCAAACGTCAGTGGTTCGTTCACGTCACACAGACCCATATTAATTAAGCTGCCAAAAGGAGCCATGATTTTAGTTTACCTCTTGAGTCTTCTGGTTTTTGAGTCGTTCGTTTAGCATGTGGCAGCACGTGAAGAGAGATGAATAAAATCCGAAGACTCGAGAAATGAACGAATCAAAACATTTTCCGGCTCTAAATGCATGACTGGCTTCTGTCTTTCACGCGATGAACGAACGACTCAAAGCACATAAAAGACTCGAAAAGGAACGAATCTTCTGCTCCACCAGCACAATTGTGCGCGTGCGCAATTAAACGAATCACTCCGAAAGGACTCAACGTTTTCGAGTCATACAAAAGATTCATTCAAAATGAACGAATCGTTTAAGAACGACCCATCACTACATGTCACCGCTGTTTACCGGGCACAAACACAGATGCACGCCACTTGATCGTTTTAAAAGCCGCGAAGATGAGCTGGCGTGTCTATGGGCTGACATTTAAGAGATCCGCTGATGATTCACAGTTTTAAAATGATCCGCTGTCTCTGTATCGGTGTTTGCACTCGGTAAACAGCGGTTAAGTGCGGTGAACTGGTGACCTTCACGGCCAAACGGCGGGGTTTAGGACCGCGCTCAACAGCGAATTTCAGTTAACTGTTACCGAAAAACAGTATCATGACAAAACTAACAAGCTGTTAAAATGGAACCTCTTAACAGAGAAACGTTAATTAGGAAGTAATTTGAAATGGACTGAAAATATTTAACCAGCAGTGAGCTCGACAGCCATACAGACACAGTTAATTTTACACTACATATGTTCATATCATATAACTTTCTCTGTAAGTTACCATCTTAATATGTTGAAACAACAAAATACTGACCTAACAGTTACCTGGAGCATTGCAGAGTTGCTCTTGAAAGCAAAACTTCGAGGCTAAATGTAGCCTAACGTTACCGTCTTCTTCAGAGAGTTCACAGTACAAAACTAAATGGATATAAAAGTAAGATTAGAAATCGCAAAAACAATTTAAGTAAGATCATTGGCATCGTTTAAGCTTTATCTTTAACGTTAAGGTGACCACACTGTGATAAAATCGATGGAATGACACGGTCACAAAGTGACTCATAATCAATGTTTTAACAAACAAAACGCATCAAAGTACAACATATACCGTTGTGTTAGCACATTTACTCATATAAATCGATAAAATGATGTTTTAAGACGTTAAACAAGAGAGCTTACCTATACGCACGAGGGAGCAGAAAATGGCGCCGACAAAACTCCAACACGTTCTCTGCAGGGGGTAGATTGAGGGGCGGAGCTTAACAGAGCAAAGTTAACGACGTAGAATACAACTCTGATCATTTTCACCAACACAAGGGGGTGTCTTTCACCGTTTCTTGTAAAATTAACTCATTTTGAGTAAATGCAGATCAACACAGCTTAATTAACACAGCGGATTTTACTGTGTACAAAAGAATTCTTGCCCAGATTTGGCATATTCCGCACTGGCATACAGCATTCGGGCCAAAAATGGCTCGGGATTGGCAGAGGTGGCACCGTCTTTAAGGCAGCACACAAGATTTGGACCAGATGTAAAATGTAGTATTTGGCCCAGATTTTAAAAATTGAAATGTGGTCCAGGTGAGTTTGGCCAGTCTTGACCCACATTTAAAATATATTAAAATAATTTTTGTGTAAAAAAAAAACTGTACAAATCAGGTCATTTTGAGAAAAAAGCACGCCCATAGTGTGTAGTGTGCCTAAAGTGCAACGCTTCATGGGTTTATCAATTTCATTGCAATTGTGACACACCAACCAATCTGGCCCTGTTATGAGTTATTAACTTGGCTTTGACTTGGCCCAGATATAGTCTGTGTTTGACTCTTGTCTGGTAGCCAGATTTGGTCCAGTCAAGTACCATAATTTACTGCAGAATGTGTGCCAAGTAAAACCTGATTGTGTGGGCCAGAGAAATTTTGCGATGTGGAAGACTTGAGACAGGAGTTGAATTTGGAAGGAATTTATAAATGTAATAATATGTAAAAATAAATATAATTGGTTTTAGAGCCAAGTACATGAAAAAGTAAAATAGGAGCAAAGACTATGATTTAAAATTTAAAATTTCCGCCTGGACATGAAAGTCCTAAAACTTGTGCAGTGTTCAACTGTCTTACACTACAAATTGTAAACTTGGCATGAATCATGCACCTATATAGTAGTACTAATGGAGTAAGGTTTTGAGCTAATATCTTATGTTTACAAGCTGATAATCATTTTAAAGTCTGTTTTTCTCTGAACATTTACACACATCCCATTAATGTAAGCTTTCATTTGATACCGACATTATGTTTGTGGTTTATGTAATTTCAGAGATATCTACATTTACTCTATGTATGCCGTGTTGAGCAAGTAAATAACAAAAATGATCTAAAACATGTCCACTAAAGTTACTCATCACTACTATCCTTATCACCATCATAAGAACCTGAAATCTACATTTTAAAAACATAGTTTGATATGTTCATTTTCATACAAAATATCCACTGTCCTGTTCTGGAAAGCACATGTGATCTCACTTATGACCACCATACACTAATCTCAGTCTTCTGGTGGCAAAGAGTCAAAGAAACTGAAAAGTTTGATGAGCTGCGAACTCTCACACAGATGTTTGTGTGCCCTCATGCTGTGGTTATAACTCATCTAATTCAATCACTACAAGCTTTGGCATATATATATATATATATATATATATATATATATATATATATATATATATATATATATATATATATATATATATTTATATATATATATATATATATATATATACACACACACAGACACACACAACAGTTCTCTGTTTCTTAAATCTGATTGGCTGATAGCCATGCGATATTCTGAAATATCAGAACTCCTACAGCATCTTTACCCTTTGTGTATTACTCCGCCCACCTACAGCCAGAAAAAAGCAGACACTACAGATCTAAAGTTTATAAGTTGCACGCTCAACTGTTTAACTGTCAGCTTATGATTTGAATCCAAGGCGGAAGAAAGTAGTTCCTCATACAAAACAGTTTTTGAGACTCTCCATATTTGATTTTGTTTTTATATACACAATTATGCCATCAAACTGTTGTATAAACGCAACGTCACACCTCGTAGCAGTGCGATATGGCTGTATATCGGCAGTGGTGGGGGCTCTAAGGCACTCGGCCTGCGGCCTCGTGCCAACGGTCGCCTCCCACCAGTGCCGATATACAGCCATATCGCACTGCTACGAGTGTGATATTGCGCTTATATATATATATATATATATATACACTGTAAAAAAATTGCTGTTAAAAAACGGTCAGATTCTACGGTAAAATAATGTTTTTTCACTAAAACAGTAATATTCTGTTAAAAACAGTGCTTTCTGCACTGTAAAAAATTGCTGTTAAAAAACGGTCAGATTCTACGGTAAAATAATGTTTTTTCACTAAAACAGTAATATTCTGTTAAAAACAGTGCTTTCTGGGTAACATTTTTGTTTTCGAGAAAGTAACCAACTGCAGAAAACTGTGAGCTAACAGAGTTCAGATTCGATGTTTTGAAGTCTGTGTTTGAAATCACGCTTTGTGTCCTTGTTCACTATTTCATACACTAGTTAACTAATATAGTTCACCTGACAGAGTTAATGAACACTAATGAGTGAATTCAGACACTGATGAACACCTGCTGTTAATAATTACAATTACTGAAGAAAATAAACAAGAAACACAAACAGTGACTTGAGTTACAACATTAAATAAAATCAAATAAAATAAAACAGCTTCAGTCTCAGCAGAGGATCATTAAACAACTCCACAAACAACAGCAGACACACACTTATTACTGACTGATTTGACTTCCATACAATTCTCATTGAGATCCAACAGAAATTAAGGTGTTTTTTGTGTCACCGTAATGGAGTGAGGGGCTGGATTAGTTGGGCTCTTCACCCTTGAACTCATTTAAGAAGACTTTCCATCTGCTTGAATACAGAGTTTACAAAACTTTTGTACTATAGCAATAAAGTTGGGAAAGTCAATAAATAGAGAAATCTATATGTCTGAAATTAGTTCTGATAAATGTTTTGTTATAAATCTGGAAGAAGGGCCTCATGCAATAGATTTTTTGCTTAGTTGCAGGTATTAATTTAATTAATGAGAAGTGGAAACAGAAAAGATACCTCCGTAATTACTTAACAGTTAAGAGAAAACATACAAAAACAGTTCAGTTATAACAAATACACACTCAGACCTCATGAATCTGACCTTGTATCTCAACAATGGTAACATCTCAAATGTTTCATGCTGCAATGCATGCTGGGAGTGGCACTGTACAAATATCCCAGCATGCATTGCGGTATAAATAAATGTTGTATAATGGTCTAACAGTTTTCTTTATTTGTGTTTGATTCTGCTGTTGTTTATGTTTCGACTTTCAGTTGCCTGTTTGTGAGTTAAACTGTTAATTTTGTTAAATTTGTTTTCACCATTATTGAGGTTCATATGCTGATTATTGATGTCTCTTTGAGTGCGATTTACACCATAGAGCAGTGTTATTGTCCAAGATATTCTTAAAAACTTCCAGATATCATTGCCATATATATATATATATATATATATATATATATACATATAATGTAAAACAAAAGATTTAACATTGAATAGGAGCAGTAAATTTTATTATACTAAATGAGAACAGACTCTGCCATTTAATAGCAACATGAACATCACTAGATCTTATTTAGGATTTTGGCTGGCTTGCCACAACAAAGGAGCTTTTCAAACAAAGTCCTTAACAATTGCAGCAGCCACAATATATAAATGTTAAAATGACAGGGCTAAGAGCCCAACTAAAGCAAACTCTGTTCTCCATGATGGTGACGTAAAACTTTCACTTTTTCTCAAGAAGAACTTTAGTAGATGTTATACAAAAATACATGTATTAAGTAATAAGTGTAGCTGGTGATGATGTTTGTAGAGTTGTTTAATCATCCGCTGATCATTTAAATGATTTAATCATTTGTTGTTCTTCAGGTTATTTCATTATAAAGCTGTGACTAAAGTTTTGTATGTTCTGTTCTTGTTTTTTTCCCTTCAGTATTTCTTCATTTGTTCATTGTTAATCCTCAATTATCATTTAATTAGTCAGTTAATAAATAATTTACTTCAGCTTTGCTCCATGTTTCTTGAACACTCAGTAGTGTGGACACTTCAATTAAAACTGAAGTATATGCTCTGGGGTTTAAAGGGTTAAAGGTGTGAGAGGTAAAAACACAGTGTAAAAATGTATTATAACAGTAATATACTGTTAATTTACACTACGGAAATAGACTGTAAAAAAAACAGTAGATTGCTGGCAACCACAGCTGCCAGTAGATTACCGTTAAATCAAGGAAAAAACAGTATTTTACTGTAAAACCTGAAGCTAATTTCTTCTGTGTGTCACCGTTGTGGAGGAGAGTAGAGCCAGTGTATGAGTTAAAGATGAACAATGAACTGCTGATGTTATTCTGTATGTTTCTCTATTTAAAGATAGCGGCTGTTTAGTTGCTGATGCAGTCAGAATCTCTTTGGTGATTCCAGATTTACATGTATGTGTGCTGTTGTGAAAAATAAGACATTAGAGTTAAACAAAACTTTTCTACTTAACTAAAATAAGTTATCATTATAAGTATGCTTCTAAGCATATATAGCACATTACTTCATAAACTCATTCAGCAGTTGACCAAGTTGAGGCAGTTGCTTTCAGTGAGCAAAATGAGTTCACTTGAGTATTGTGTAAATCAATGTAGTCCATGTATTTTTACAGCAACATACTGTAAAATAACAGTACATTGCTGGCAACTGCAGCTGCCAGTATTTTACTGTTTTTTAACGGGACATTTTTTAACAGTGTGGGTAACATTTTTGTTTTCGAGAAAGTAACCAACAGCAGAAAACTGTGAGCTAACAGAGTTCAGATTTGACTTTTTGAAATGTGTTTGAAATCAGATTTTGTGCCCTAGTTTACTATTCCATACACTAGTTCACTAATAAAGTTCACGTGACAGAGTTAATGAACACTAATGAGTGAATTCAGACACCGATGAACACCTGCTGTTAATAATAACAATTACAGAAGGAAAGAAACAAAAACACAAACAGTGACTTGAGTTACAGCATTAAATAAAATCAAGTAAAATAAAACACCTTCAGTCTCAGCAGAGGATCATTAAACAACTCCACAAATAACAGCAAACACATGTATTACTGACTGCTTGGACTTCCATACTACTCTCAATGAGATCCAACAGAAATGTAGATTTTTTTTGTGTCACCGTAATATAGTCAGGGGCTGGTTTGGTTGGGCTCTTTACCCTTGAACTCCTTAAATTTGACTTCCCAAATGCTGTAATAAAGAGT